TGTGACTGTCCCTGCTGACCCCAGGGCATTGAACTGCTGGCCCTAGTACACCATGTGACACAGGGTGACAAGTGGCAGCCAAAGTGCAGGAGCCCCCCAGTGTCCCTGCAGTGGTAGGGGGAGGGTGGGGTGACACGAGGCCACAGGCTGACCAGCATCACCCAGGGGACACTGAACACAAGGCAGCTTGAGTCACCAGACACACATGGGGACATTGCTGTCCCTGTGCCCCCAACTCCACACTACATGCACCAGAGGGAGACCTGCCCTTGGGTGGGCACACAGCATGGGCACCACACAGCCCCTTTATTGCCTGCAGCAGGGAGGGGGTCCCCAAACCCCCTGAAAAAAAACCCTTTGCAGCAGGGCAGGAACGTCCCTGAAATGTGCTGGCAGGAATGAGGACATGGCCTCGACCCTGTGGGCATGCTGGTGTCCCAGCGTCCCTGGCCAGACAGGGAATAAACAGGACAAGAGCTCCAGACAGGGTGAAGTGGCATCTGCATCTCCAGAGCCATGAATTCCCCAGTCCTCCCAGGGGTGAGACACATTAGGACATCCGGATGGATCCTGGCACCAGCCCAGTCCCATGGGGTGAGCGGGCACTGTCCTCTGGAGGTAGCTGGGGCATCAGAGTTCATCATGTGGGATGTGGAGCACATGGTCACATAGGTCTGTGGGGACAAAGGGCACCACTCAGGGCACAGCAGACCCCTGTGGGACCCTCAGGACATGGTAGAACCCAAGACACACTCAGGATGCACTGGAGCCCTGTGGAGACCCTCAGGACTCAGTGGAGCCCTGTGGGGCCCTCCATGGCAGCATGTCCCTTCGTGCCCCCTCTGTGCAGAGCACCAGAGCCAGTCCCAGCCCTGACCTGAGCCAGGGACACCTGCACTTCCCTCACTTTGTTCTGTGGTTAATGACAAACATGGCTGTTTGGACAGCAAGACCCCTCGGGAAGGTGCATTTCCCTGATGCCTGTGCCAGGCACAAAGGCACCTGCTCTAGCCTGACCCCATGGGCCATGTCCTGGACTGGAAATGTCCAAAGGTTGTGGCATGCCCTGACCCAGGTGTTTGTGAGCTGGAAATAGCTCTGCAGGGTGGGAGATGCCACAGGCATCCGCGCACCGGCTGTGCCAGGAGTGGCCATGGAGCTGGTGCGGGAGCTTCCGTGGCTCAGCCCAAGCATCCAAAACAAGCTGTGGGGTGCTAGGATTTTGGGAAGGATGTGCAGCTCCTCTCCCTGCTCTAGTCTAGCATCTCTCATCTCAGCAACAATGGAGGAGCTATGACCACTGGAACAGCAGGAGAGACCCCCTGGGACAGCCTGGCCCAGCTCACCCGTGCGCTTGCTGCAGAGCCTGTCCTTGACATTGTCGGCCTCGTGGGAGAGAAACTCGATGAGTTCATCCTCGTACTCCTCGGCGATGCTCTCACACTGCAACGGAGCTACCATGGGTCACAGACGCAGGGGATAGGTGACACTGACAGCACCCAGGGGTGGCCAGTGCCAGACCCCTCACCCACCACCCCAGCCCCAAGAGATGCCTGGTCCCCCACACACCGCAAACTTCAGGCTGGTAGTCACATCTCCATCAATTTTGACCCCAGAAAGGTCCATCTTGGTCCCATCATGGGAGATCACCCGCACGTAGCTCTTCCGGTGCGTAGATGGATCCACTTTTTCCCCATATTCCTTCATCTTCTCGCAGACCCACTCCAGCAGCTCTGTCAGGTGTGTCTCTGAGCGCGCGTACGGCACCTGTGGCACAGTGTGGGATCAGCAGGGTCAGGCCCCGGAGTGGGACACCATGATGGTAACGCCGGGAGACACCTCACCTCCACAACTGACTGGCTGCCGTCAGGGTTGATCCGGAAAGAGCCCATCTGGATGGTTTTCCTGGGGTCGACCTGGGCAATCTCCCACTCCAGCTCATCCACCAGCGCTCGGCACGCTGTGGGGAACATTGGTGTCATCACAGCTCTGGCACAGACGCACCGGTGGCAGCCTCTGGGAGGAACTAGTGTGACTGGTGCAGACTGGGACAGGAGGTGTGTGGGGAGGGGGTCAGTGCAAAGGGGGGCCCTGACACCCTCAGCCTGTCCCCAAGCACCTGTGCAGGACAAGTGAGTCCCAGTGGCAACCCCATCCCTGTG